CTTAAATCTACTTAGTCAACAGTGTTTATTAGGTGAAATTAGACTGAGGCAAGATAGGATGTGTTAAAGATTCAATGCAAGTGGCTCTTGCTTCCATTTGTAAACTTTTTAATGGGCTGAGTTTATTGGAAATATGTCCATCCATGCTTCTTCTTTGACTCCCACTTTGCCAAATTATGTAACTTTTTCCATAGTTGATTCATAGCTAAAAACATGCTAATAGCTATTTCGTCCTTTTATCTGATTGTTTTTCTTTTATCTGGGGTTATCTCCAAAACACTAACATGCCTGATACATAAGTAACAATTCCTCTGTCTTACGCACCAAAAATGTTCTGAATAAGTGGTGAATGTGTTCAACCTACTTTGATAAACCTAAATAAGAATGTAAAGAAAAAAAAAACAAAACTAAAATTAGAAATACCGTATGACCCAGCAATTCCACCTCCAAGAATTTAACCAAAGAAAACAAAGTCACTATTTCTGAAAGATACATGCACACATATACTCACTGCAGCATTTTTACAATAACAAAGATATGGAAGCAAGGTAAATGTCCATCAGTAAATAAGGATAAAAACAATATGGCATGCATACATACACACAAAAATATTTCTCAGCTATAAAAAAGAATGAAATGTCATTTGCAACATGGACCTAGAGGGCATTATGCTAAGTGAAAAAAGTAAAAGAAATATCACGTGATTTCATTTATGTAATCCAAAAAAAATAAAACAAATGAAAAATAAAACTGAAACAGACTAATAGATACAGAGAACACATCAGTGGTTGCCATTGGGAAGTTAGGTGAAATAGGTGAATGAGGAAAAAAATTAGTGAGGATGTCCAATATCTTGATCTGGGTGATGAATGACTGCACATCTCAAAATTCATTGAGTTATACACTAATATTTGTGCATTTTATTGTATGTACCTCAATTACTATATATGCATATATACATACATACATATATGAACCTTCAAACAACTCTTACTTCAAATAACCAGAACAAACCCCAAAAATAGCTGAACAGTACGATGACTTCCTAAGTCTATGCCATACAGCCCCACAAGCAGACAGTTACTCACCCAATGCCCTTCCCCATTATCCTAAATGTAGAAAATGCCAGATACTATCTAACTGTCTTGCAGCTATAGCATGGGCAAATAATCCAATTCTGGCCATTGGGACCTGCTGAAAAAGGCTGCTGAGATGCTTATAAAGAAGTTTTTTTCTCCCTAATGTAAAGAGACACATGAAAGGAGACACCCTTTAGATCTGCAAAAGAGGACCTTGTATGACTTACTTCTACTTATCTACTATGGAACTGTCCTGGCCAATACAGTCCACTAGCCACATGTACCTATTAAAAACTAAACTGATAAAAGTTAATAAATTCCATTCTTCAGCTAAAGTAGCCACATCTCAGACTTCAACAGCTGCATGTGGCTAATGGCCACTGCATTAGATGGCACAGATGTTGGACCATGTTCATCATCACAGCAAATTCTATAAGAAGAACATTGTACACAGAGCCTCTGAAGAAATTCAAGCATCTACAAAGGTAGAAGGCAAGTATAAAAACCCAAGTAGAAACATTCTAAACTACAGAGTCTATGGGAGTTAAAGTAGTTCTCTTCTGCTTCTGGCCCTACCCAACAGTTGACTACTGAACCCAAGAATTTTGTCTAGCACCTGTGAGCTCCACCTTATCACCTAATAGATGCCATTTTCTCCCAAGACCCTGAGTACACCTCTGAAACAGCATTAAGGCTCTCAGAGGTATTGCAGATATCTTTTTTTTAAATTAAAGTATCATTAATATACAATACTGTGATGGTTTCACATAAACAACACAGTGGTTTCAACATTCATCCATATTATCAAATCGACCCCCTCCATTGCAGTCACTGTCTAGTAGCATAGTAAAATGTTAAGAGTCATTAATTACCTTCTCTGTGCCTTCCCCATGACCTACCTATATCGTCACTGCAAATTACAGTGCCCTTTAATCCCCTTTTCCCTACCAACCCCTCCCCTTGGGTAACCCCTAATCCCTTCTTGGTGTCTGTGCATCTGCTATTTTGTTCCTTCAGTTTCGCTTTGTTTTTATACTCCACAAATGAGAGAAGTCATTTGGTATTTGTCTTTCTCTGCCTGGCTTATTTCACTGAACACAATACTCTCTAGATCCATTGATGATGGATTTTCTTTTCTTTTTATGGCTGAATAATATTCCATTGCATATATGTACAACATCTTCTTTATCCATCCAGCTACTGATGGACACCTAGGTTGCTTCCCTTATCTTGGCTATTGTAAAAAGTGCTGTGATAAACACAGGAGTGCATATGTCTTTTCAAATCAGGGATCTTGTTTTCTTCAGGTAAATTCCTAGGAGTGGAATTCATGGGTCAAATGGTATTTCTATTTTTAGTTTTTTTGAGGAACCTCCATATTGCTTTTCACAATGGTTTAACCAATTTACATTCCCACCAACAGTGTAGGAGTGTTCCCATTTCTCTGCATCCTTGCCAGCATTTGTTGTTTCTTGTCTTTTGGAAATTCACCATCATAACTGGTGTGAGGTGACATCTCACTGTGGTTTTAATTTGCATTTCTCTGATGATTAGCGATGTGGAGTATCTTTTCACGTGCCTGTGGGCCATCTGTATTTCTTCTTTGGAGAGTGTTCAGATCCTCTGCCCACTTTTTAATCACACAATTTTTGGGGGGGTGTTGAGGTATGTGAGTTCTTTATATATTTTGGATATTAACCCCTTATTGGATAAATTGTTTACAAATATATTCTCCCATGCTGTAGGGTACCTTTTTGTTCTGCTGATGGTGTCCTTTGCTGTACCAGAAGCTTTTTAGTTTGATGTAGTGCCACTTGTTCATTTTTTATTTTGTCTTGCCTGAAGAGATGTGTTCAGTAAAAAGTTGTTCATGATTATATTCAAGAGATTTTTGCCTGTTTTCTTTTAAGAGTTTTATGGTTTCATGACTTACACTCAGGTCTTTGATCCATTTTGAGTTTACTTCTGTGTATGGACTTAGACAATAATCCAGTTTCATTCTCTTACATGTAGCTGTCCAGTTTTCCCAACACCAGTTGTTGAAGAGGGTATCTCTTCCCCATTGTATATCCATGGCTCCTTTATCATATATTAATTGACCATATATGCTTGGGTTTATATCTGGACTCTCTAGTCTGTTCCATTGATCTATGGGTCTGTTCTTGTGCCAGTACCAAATTGTTTTGATTACCAAGGCTATGTAGTAGAGCTTTAAGTTAGGGAGCATAATCCCCCCTGCTTTGTTCTTCTTTCTCAGGATTGTTTTGGCTATTCAGGGTCTTTTGTGGTTCTATATGAATTTCAGAAATATTTGTTCTAATTTGTTGAAGAATACTGCTGGTATTTTGATAGGGAGTGCACTGAATCTGTAGATGGCTTTGCGCAGGATCACCATTCTGACAATATTAATTCTCCCTATGCATGAGCATGGGATATTATTTCCATTTATTCATGTCTTCCTTAATTTCTCACATGAGTCTTGTAGTTTTCAGAGTAGAGGTTGCAGGTATCTTAACATGACCAAAATTAAATTCTTCTTCATATGCAGTTACACTCTACCTAAATATCCCATTTCCAGAGTTCCTTATACCAAGAAACTGCCTACTAGCCACTGAACTACTAAGCCAGAAGCTTGGAAATCATTCTGATAGCATCCCCTTCTTCTTCACCTCTGTCATCTAATCCATCAGCAGATCCTATTGAAACCACTTCTTAAATTATTCTCAAATTGCCCACTTCTTTCCATACCCACTGCCGCTCCTCTATTCCAAAGCCACTACAATCTCCCATCTATTATAACACTATCGGAGCCCTGAATCCACTCATATAGCTCTCCAAAATACACGTATGGAGGGTTTAAACTACAACTGACTCTGTTATTTCTCAAATCAAAAATCTTTCAATGGCTTCACATAATAACCCTTAAGATAAAACCTAAACATTGAACACCAGGTCTTGCAGATAGAAGCCTTGCATATTTCTCACCACACTCCCTTTTGCCTATTATGTTCCAATGATAGTAAAACTATACTGGCTCTCTCTTGTTCATGGACTTTATCACATGCAGTTTTCTCCATGTGGAATGCTTTGCCCACTTTGTCTGGCTAACTTCCACTTACACTATAGGTCTTCTTTTGGGTGAACCTTTTGATCCCCTCTCCCAAGGAGTAAACTTTTAACATACTGATTCTCCCAGTTTGTAAAATTCATCACCATTTTTTTTTTACTTTTTTCGGGTTTTCCCTGTAAGATGGTACATACTGGGAAATCAATTACCTTCTCCTCTACATCATCCAGTTTTATTTATCAGAGCACAGAGCTTAGCATATCACAGGAAACCAGTAAACATGTAATAAATAATGCATAATTCAGTTAATGAATAAAGGAATAACATTTTAAAAAACTAAGTGCAATTTGGAACAATTAAGACCAAAACAGTACTAACCTGGTGTTTTCATTATATTCGAAAATCTGTACCTTGGCTGTTGCATTTGGACTACTGTCATCACTTCCTACTGCTATCATGGGAGAATGAGCACGGGAACTAGAAATGAAGAGTAAAAAATATTTTACATAATTATAAAATTAATATACACACAGATTCAATGCAATCCCTTTCAAAATACCAACAGCATTCTTCAACGAACTAGAGCAAATAGTTCTAAAATTCATATGGAACCACAAAAGTACCTGAATAGCCAAAGAAATCCTGAGAAGGAAGAATAAAGCAGGGATGATTACGCTCACTGACTTCAAGCTCTACTACAAAGCCACAGTAATCAAAACAATTTGGTACTGGTACAAGAACAAACCCATAGATCAATTGAACAGACTAGAGAGACCAGATATAAATCAAAGCATATATGATCAAATGATATACGATAAAAGGAGCCATGGATACACAATGGGGAAATGACAGCCTCTTCAACAGCTGATGTTGGCAAAACTGGATGGCTACATGCAAGACAATGAAACAGGATTATTGTCTAACCCCATACACAAAAGTAAATTCAAAATGGATCAAAGACCTGAATGTAAGTCATGAAACCATAAAACTCTTAGAAGAAAACATAGGCAAAAATCTCCTGAATATAAACATGAGCAACTTTTTCCTGAACACATCTCCTTGGGCAAGGGAACAAAAGCAAAAATGAACAAATGGGACTACATCATGCTAAAAAGCTTCTGTACAGCAAAGGACACCATCAGCAGAACAAAAAGGCATCCTACAGTATGGGAGAATAGATTTGTAAATGACATATCCTACAAGGAGTTAACATGGAAACCTATATAAAGAGCTCCCACACCTCAACACCCAAAAGGAAAATAACTCCATTAAAAAATGGGCAGAGGATATGAACAGACAATCCTCCAAAGAATAAATTGAGATGGCCAATGGGCACATGAAAAGATGCTCCACATCGCTAATTATCAGGGAAATGCAAATTAAAACCACAATGAGATGTCACCTCACACCAGTTAGGATGGCCAATATAGAAAAGACTAGGAACAAGAAATGCTGGCGAGGATGCAGAGAAAGGGGAACCCTCCTACACTACTGGTGGGAATGTAATCTAGTTCAACCACTGTGGAAAGCAGTATGGAGTTTCCTCAAAAAACTAAAAATAGAAATACCATTTGATCCAGGAATTGCACTCCTAGGAATTTACTCTAAGAATGCAGCAGCCCAGTTTCAAAAAGACATATGCACCCCTATGTTTATCACAGCACTATTTACAATAGCCAAGAAATGGAAGCAACTTAAGTGTCTATCAATCAGTACATGAATGGATAAAGAAGATGTGGTACATAATACAGAATGGAATATTATTCGGCCATAAGAAGAAAACAAATCCTACCATTTGCAACAACACGGATGGAACTATAGGGTATTATGCTCAGTGAAACAAGCCAAGTGGAGAAAGACAAGCACCAAATGATTTCCCTCAACTGTGGAGCATAAGAACAAATCACAAACTGAAGGAATGAAACAGTGGCAGACTCACAGAACCCAAGAATGGACTAACAGTTGCCCAAGGGAAAGAGACTGGAGGGGTACAGGAGTGGGTGGGAAGGGAGGGAGAAGGCGAATAAGGGGCATTACGATTAGCACACATAATGTGGGGGGGGCGGGGCATGGGGAAGGCAGTATAGCATGGAGAAGACAAGTAGTGACTCTATAGCATCTTACTAAGCTGATGGACAGTGACTGTAATGGGATATATGGTGGGGACTTGATAATGGGGGGAATCTAGTAACCACAATGTTGCTCATGTAATTGTATATTAATGATACCAAAAAATTAATATGCACATAATTGAGAGAATCAAAAACTGGCTTCAAGCAACTTGATAACCCAAAAGTCACATGTCACTTCTGTGCCTGGATCCCGCCATATATACCACACAGTGAAACATTGGGAGGCTGTGTCTTTGAGAATGCTCAAAACAGTGACTGAGGACACAACCCTTCTGGGTTGTTTTTACCACATTTTCTTATGGCTGAGATAGAAAGTAGCTCTGTTCCCAAAACCAAAAGGTTTCATACATTCAATAGACTAAAAAAAAAAAAGACAATTAACAGGTCTTAAAATGTTTCTTCCTGAAAGGTTTAGTCATTAACTATGTAATAAAAAGTAACCCTATGGTGACCAAGTAAGTGTTTTGTACAGTAACCCCAATGGAAGGAGGAAAAGTAGAAAAGGCCACCCCTCAGCAAGGTATGCTCTTACATGTCATTCTCCTCTCCAGCCACATTTGTGGTCAACTTCATTTTTTTTTTTTTTTGAGAGGGCATCTCTCATATTTATTGATCAAATGGTTGTTAACAACAATAAAATTCAGTATAGGGGGTCAAT